AAAAAAAATTAGTAGCCACTTAATTGATAATCTATTTGAGATCTTTTTTTTTTTTTTTTAGTCACTTCAAATAAGTTAATATAGAAATGTAAACTCCTTGTGATCGTATTTGATTCCTTCTTTTTTCTTCTCAGAATATATCCATCAACCTTTTGCAAGAAAGAATAGACTTGCAGTTGCAATCGAGCAGATCTACTGTATGCTACATAGTTTCTGATTTTGTGGGTCTAAATTTCATCTCACTGTCTAATTTCTTCAATTCTTCTAGACCTGCAGGTAAGCAATTCCATCAATTACGCTCTCTTTAAAGCATATACTTTTTTGTGGCCAAAGAAATAAATATTTTATAGATGTAATACTGTCATACTTTAGATTTTTATTGGTTGTTTTTGTAATTATCACTTAGAAGACTTTGATCTACTATAGATCGAATTTAACTAAAATATTTGATCAATGAAAATCTCATTCGAACGATGTAGTTTTAAGGTCGAGAAATTATTGGAGTATTTTTTAATTTGATACATTTTTTAATAAATGCCTAGTTTTTAAAATAAAATGTAAAAATAATTAATTTAATTAGGTTTGACCTCTTTTACCTATGATTACATGTTTAAATTTATTTGCATTTAATTCTAATAAAAAATAATACCTTTTAATGTGTGTTATATAGAAGATGCTGTACTAAAAATTTTACCAATTAAGTCGTTTGAGATATCTTTCCATTCAATTTTCTTCTTGTCAGATTCTCATTTTCCTTTATAAAACAAAAAGTTAGATTCCTCATTGTCTTATTGTTTGATTTTTCCTCAATTAATTTTTAGTAGCTTAATTGATAATCTTGTGAGCTCGCCTTTCTTCTAGGCACTTAAAATAAATTAAAATAGAAGTCTATTCCCCCAGTGATAATATTTGAATCATGGTTTTTTATTCAGGAAGAATAGGCTATTAACTGCAATCAAGATGATCTATTGTGCCCAATTTGTTTGTGCATCGAATTTCCTAAATACCATTTTTTAGACTTGCAGGTATACAATTCTTTCTATTGTATTCTTTTTCAAGTATAATATGAAAGTAAAAATAGTTTTTAGCACAGGATGCAGGAAAAAATATATATACACATAGTTTAAGCATTGAAGTTATTAAAATACTATTTTTTTATACATGAGATAATAAATTATGCAATAAAAAATAGTTCGTTTTTTTTTTAACTCCTTTTTAGTTATCTTTTTTTATACATTAGATAATAAATTGTGCAATAGAAAATGGTTCAATTTATTTTAAACTCCTTTTTAGTTATCCCAGGAGATTTGAACTCGATGTTTAATTTTAAAACATAAAGCAACAATTATTTTAAAATTAGTAGAGTGTTTATTAGCATAATGTTTTAATAAAGAAAAGTACTTTTTACTGTAATTTTATCATTAAGTTTTAATTTTTTAATTATTTATTGTCGTAAAAGTCATTGTTTAATTTGTTTATTTTTTAACATTTTTTGTTATTTACTTTGAACTTTTTTTAAATTCATAAGACCAATATCAAGACGAGTATTTGTATTATATGATTCCTTGTTATTATATTTTAATGTTAAGTTTGTTTTAAATTAATGGTTATATTTTTATTTTTAATCATAGATAAATAT